GTCTTATTTCCGACCCGGACAATTTTAAGGGTCTACAGTACACTCAACTACCGGTGCAGTATGCCACGAGTCGACCTCACCATGTCACATCAGCCACCTTGGCCAGTCTCATACAGGGCGATGACGAATCACTAAGGGCGTTCATGGAACGCTTTGCCAGTATCTCCGTCAAGATTCAAAAATTGAACCCCGAGGTCACCTTACACGCCATACTCATGGCGCTCAAGCCTGGACCTTTCATGGACAGCCTATGTCTACGATCTCCTTTTGATATGGACGAACTCCGTGCCCAAGCTGCAGGGTACATTTAGATGGAAGAGCACTCTGCTTTTCGTGACTAGGTTCGCAACAAACCATAAGGAAAGCAAGACCAAGGTCAAAGCCACAAACATTTAAAGTTGGCGACCTTGTTTGGTGGGGTGAGAGATGCAAGAACAGACCCCTCCAAAGGAAAATTTGGAACCTGGAATTCCACCCACCTCAAATTTTATTTCTCATAACTTGTAAATTCAGGTGATGTACTCTTTTTCCTCCTCAGCCTTTTTTCCCACTAAAGAAAAGGGGTTTTTGGCCAAGGAAGGTTTTAACAGGCACACCTCAGAAATAAATCAATAAAGCAACTCCATTCCCATACATTTTCGGTATTGGCACATTAACCATGACGACTTGTCATTGGCGAGTCCGAACCTTGAGATCACATTTTCTTAACCAAGGTCGAGTTCAAACCTTATTATACCGAGGTCGAGTCCGAACCTTGAGATCACATTTTCTTAACCAAGATCGACTTCGAACCTTGTTATGCCGAGGTCGAGTCTGAACCTTGAGATCACATTTTCTTAACCAAGGTCGAGTTCGAACCTTAATATGCCAAGGTCGAGTCCGAACCTTGAGATCACATGTTCTTAACCAAGGTCAAGTTCGAACCTTGATATGCCAAGGTCGAGTCCGAACCTTGAGATCACATTTTCTTAACCAAGGTCGAGTTCGAACCTTGATATGCCGAGGTCGAGTCCAAACCTTGAGATCACATCTATTTAACAAGGTCGAATTTGAACCTTCAAACAACAAATTTGGGAGCTCCTCAGAAGCCCCTTCCCTCTTACATCACTCGGCGCTTGGGGGGCTAGTGTACTGGCTAGCCGAGTTGCCAACTTGTCCCTCACCAATCTATTGACTCGGTCAAAGGTTTACTAGCCTGACCAAGCAGTAAACTCATTATTTCCGAGTTCCTCAACTCGACCATGTCACATGGCATCACGAGAGAGAAGCGTACGCCAAGAGTCACGACCCTTTACCAAGCTCAGTATTAACTCCTCGACCCACGGTCTTCAGAGCTCGGGGGGCTAGTGTACTATCCGTACCGCGAAGCCGTGCTCTAGCTCGACATCACAGCGCAGAAAGACCTCGGTTACACGCTGGGCGACCTCGGCCAAGGCGAGGTCCGCTATCTAATTAAGTTATAAC